GATTGGAAGGCTGGTGAAAAATAAGAGATGATGTGATTTGATTTACATATTAGAAAATCACTCTACGGCCGAGGAATGAATTTCAAGAGACGGAAGTAAATGATTGGAACAGTCCAGGCAAGAGATGGTGGCTTAATTGCCAGGGTGGTAGCAGAGAATCCAAAGAAAAGAATACAGTTCAGGATATGTCTTAGAAGTAAGAGCCTAAGAGATTTGGTAATGGATTACAAGTAGGAAATCAGGAACTAAGAAGAATTCAATGTATGCCCAGGAGTTTTACCTGAGTTATGTGGGTGATTAGTGGTGCAGAGAGAGGGAATTAATGAAGGATGTGTATGTAAGAATGAGGTTTGGAGGTGGAGAGAAAAATCAAGGGTTTTGGTTGTATAAATTTTGAGATACCTGTGGGACCTACAAATGGAGATGACCATGAGAATTTTGGGCAAGTGTGTCAGAGCTCAGTAAACAAGTCAGAGTTGGAGGTGGGAATTGGAGAGAGAGCCATCCATAAACATAGATGATATCTGAAGCCATCTGGCTTGATGAAATCACCTGGAGGAGTGTGGAAAAAGAAAATAGCCCAAAAGGGACCCCAGGGTGCTCCAACCTTGAGACAAGGTAGTGTGGAGGATGAGGAATGCTAGTGAGGAATGAAGACAGATTGTGCTGTCACATGAAGAGCCCAGGAAAGAATCCTCAGAAGAGGGCTTGGGCAGTTGTGAAATGGTGTTCCATGTGACTGAGATGACAAAGACAATTTTGTGATTTTTGGAGCCACCTAGGTCATAGTGACCTTGACAAGAGAAACATTGGTTGAGTCACATAACATGACGCAGATTTGAAAAGTGACTCACCAAGAAAAGGGTTGTAGTTCTTAATTGGACTCTTTTAAGAGCACAGTGTTAGGCCCACCTAGGAGCAAACTTTAACTAAATCTTCCCTCATTTCATTATACCCAGATAGAGAAATAGAAATTTCGAGAAGTTGGTCTCCATCTTACAGTTGAAATATAATTTAGGGCCTGTGAAACGTTACCAGTTACTTTGAAGGACTGCCTTATCAATGCTGACCACAGTGAATCTTGTTTGATAGAGGGTGGCTGTTGATTTTCTTTTTGGTTCAGAGACCATAATACTTAAAAGGTTACTGTTTTGGCAGCCCTGACTAAGATAGTGCATGCCTATAATCTCAGCAACTCAGGAGGGTGAGGCAGAAGGATCAAAAGTTCCTGGCCAGGCCAGCAACTTAGTGAGGCCCTAAGCAACTCAGCAAGACCCTGTCTGAAAAACTGAAAAGGATCAGGATGTAACTCTGTTTTAGAGCACCCTTGGGTTCTGCTCCCGGTGATGAAAACAAAGCTATTTTAATACATAAATTTTATTTTTATATTTTTGTCTTTTATACTGAAGCTGCCATTTTGTATACTATTTCTAAGTGAATTTAAGAATCCTATAAAAATCTGTTAAATATAGTAACAGTGAGGTACGATGGAGTCTCATCCAGTTTCCAATTAAGGACATACTGTGTCTCAGGTAATGTTTTATTCTTTTTTGTTGTCTGTTTTCGTTTTAAACCCAGAAGAGATTTGATTGTAATTCTGTGTTGTTGAACTTCTTTTGTTTCCTCCGTTTTAAGGATCTGTAATGATGTGATGATCTCAGTGTACACTGGATTTTGAAGTACTGTGTAAATCAAAATGATAAAAGACCAATAATAGTAATGGGGTACCAGTGGAATTCTGAGTTAAATAAGGTTTTGGTATTTTAAAAATGTTTTAGGACATTTAAAATAGAATGTTAGAGAGCAGGGACCTGCAGAAAAACTGAGACAACCCTGAAGAGCCCTTCTTCAAATCCAGTTCTTGTGATTGTGCCAGAAAGATTTCAGACATGCTGTGCAGAATAATCATAAGTTTATTAGAAGGAATAAGAAAGGGGAAAGAGGGATAAGGAGCCCCTCCTGCCCTCCAGTTTCCAGAGAGTGCTGCCCAGGCCCATCTCTTGACTTCTGGCTGACCACATGAGAATTGCATGAATCACCACCAAGAGAGGATGGTGTGGGGTGCTCAGAGTTGGAGATCTCTCTCTCTCTCTCTCTTTTGTTACCGGGGATTGAACTCAGGGGTATTGGACCATTGAGCCACATCCCCAGCCCTATTTTGTATTTTATTTAGAGACCGAGTCTCACTGAATTGCTTAGCACCTCGATTTTGCTGAGGCTGCCTCAGCCTCCTAAACAGCTAGGATTACAGGGGTGTGCCACCATGCTCAACCAGAGTTTGGGATCTTAAGGAAATTTAATCTCCCAGGTTTTGCCTCAATTTCCTGCCTCCTTAACCTGTTCATTACTATTTAAAGAGCCCTCGGCAAGCTTTCTTTGTGAGGGTCTTGATATTTTAGTTGCCAGTGATGGTTTCCTGGGATGCTGGAGAGTCTAGCCCACCTGGTAGGATGTGACATGATCCTGAAACAATAGCTTATCTTAGGAGATGTAAGGAGGCGGGTTGTTTTTGTTTTTCTGGCATTGGGGATTAAACCCAGGGGTACTTTACCACTAAGCTACATTCTCAGTCCTTTTTGGTTTTTATTTGGCACAGGGTCTTGGTAAATTACTTAGGGACTGGGTAAGTTGTTGAGGCTGACTTCAAACTTTCCATCCTCCTGCCTCCATCTCCCAAATTGCCGGGATTACAGGTGTGCATGGCACTCCACCCAGTGGGAGGTTTTAACATACCAGGCCCCCATCTTTCAGGTGCTTATCTGTTAGATAAGATTTCCTATGGTTTTCATTTGCCCTTCTTCCCTTCTCATCTTTTTCCAGCTCACCCATTCATGAGGTGACTAGTTACCCAATCCTAATAGTGACATTTAATTTAATTTTGTTATTGTATCAAAGCATCTAACTAAAACATTAGGAATACTGGGAAACATGAGAAATGTATTTAAAAGATTTTTATGGTGAATAAATGGCCACCTAAGTTAGAAGCTTAATGCTTCTTAGGATTCAGGGCAAATCCAGGCTTCAGCCTTGTATTCTTTTCATTAGATTATACTATGGAGGAAGTAAATGAGGTAGACTCTTTTCTAATTTTAATGTGAATGGGTCACCATTGAGAGTCTATGGTTGATCCTATAGGTTCTGGGTATCCAAATTCTTCTTTCAAGAGCTGAGTCTCTCCCTTAAAGCACACCTGGACTCCTGCCTCCCACCCTATAGGGAGAGTTTGAGCTGACTTTCTCTGCTCTGGATCTTCAGCCACCCATCTCTTTCAGAACCTTTGTCTTTTGCTTTGCTCCTTTTGCATGTTTCCTACTGGATTGCTAATTCATTATGACAGGATCTCGGTCTCATTCTCAGGTAGTTTCCACTTTTCAGTACCAAAGGTGTGACAAATTCTTTATTAATTAAGGTCATAATAGGTAAAATTAGTGTTCTTAATAGAAGTCTGATGTAAATGATATTTCAACCAGTGCTTTGTTCTCCTTTTTCGTAATAGGCTTATCATTAGTGATTAGAGATGGGTTTTCTTCACACACTCCAAGTACTTTAGGACGTGAGATAGCAACACACATAGAACGTCAGCACTGTGAGTCAGAGTCTACTGCATGCGCAGGAGAGGGGGGAGACTGCTCCAGGAATTTGACTCAATCCCTGATAATTATGTAAAGGTGAAGAGGATGAGGAGGACTTTCCAAGTGAAGACCAGGAAGAGCAAAACGGGGAGATGGTTGCGGAGGATCCTGGGTTTATATTACAGAGCTGACAGAATTTTTAGGGATTGGATGTATTAAGTGACAAAAGGGATACTGGATACCAGGAAACTGAAAGAAATTTGATTTACTAGGTGGGGAGACTTGGTAAGTCTTTTAAAATTTATTTTTGTTGCTATTATAAAAGGAATTTTTCTTTCATCATACTTTCTAGTTAGCTTTTCTTTATGGTTACAAGGACATGAAAGACTGTTACTTAGGGGTTGGGGTTGTGGCTCAGTGGTATATTGCTCACCTAGCATGCGTTAGGCACTGGGTTTGATCCTCGGCACCACATAAAAATGAACTAAAGATATTGTGTATTCATCTACAACTAATATGTTTTTTAAAAGACTATTACTTATTATGGAGTACAGAAGAATTTTTAAATGCCTCCCTTCTAGTGTTTAGATTAGATGCTTTGAAACAATAACAAAATTGAATTTTATTTTCCCTATACCAAGCCAAAGGTATAGATAGGGAAAATAAAAAATTTAAACATAACAATCAACATGAATTAAGGAATGATAAAAGACCAATAATCGTAGTGGGGTACCAGTGGGATTCTGAGTGGAATTCCAGTGGAATTCACTGATTTCTCATCTCCTTTGACTTCTCTGTGGCATTTTACCCAACTCTTCAATTCTAAAGAAGTGGATCAAACCCAGTGCTTCATGCATGCTAGGTGAGCACAACCCCAGCCCAGTACTGTTTTTTTTTTTTTTTTTTTTATGGCTCCATTTGCTTTCCTCTTCTTGAAATGTCCACCATTATTTCTACTCTTACTGTGTATTTCAATTCATTCCCCCAAATCCAGTTTGTTTCCCATCTGTAAAACATTTATGAATTCCTAGGAAAATCGAGTTCTCTTCCTATTACTTTCAGCTATCCATCTGCATACCTATTGTGAATCAGTCACCAAACTTTATGGTAATTTTATATATGTCTGTCAATCCATCAAAGATCTTTATAACTTAGTCTTCTTCAAGAAAATAAATTACATTCTTGGTATGTGGTGATGAACATATTTACTGAATGGAATAGAGGCAAATATAAAATATATCATGTTTTTAGGGAAAAGCAATTTCTCTTCCTTTACCAATCCCTAATAAATTAATGGTTAACATTTTGGTGCATTTCTTTGTGTATGTGAAAAATCTGTATATGCATTTTGGTTTTTATAAAATCAAATCATGCTAGAAAGTTACTTTTTAATATAGATCCTATTTTCTGTTTTTATTTATATTTTAGGAGGAAACCAAAAGCCAAGGCACCACTTCCTCCAGCAGAGATCAAATACATGGATGCCTCTTCAGTTGAGAATTCAGTGGAATCTGCTGCATTCATCATGGAGCAGAAAGAAAACATGATAGATAAAGACATTGAACTCTCCGTGGTTCTACCTGGGGATATCATCAAATCTACTACTGTTCATGGCAGGTATGTTGCAGAAATTAAAGTACTAGGACTTCCATTTATATAATATAATTGTGATTCTGGGGATTGAACCAGGGACCCTTTATCACTGAGCCACATCCTGAGCCCTTTTTATTATTATTATATGTTTCTGAGTCTTGCTAAGTTTCTGAGGGTCTTGATATGTCACTGACACTGCCCTTAAACTTCTAATCCTCCTGCTTCAGCCTCTTTGGTAGCTGGGATTATGGGCATATGCCACCACACCTGGTATTGTGACACGTATCTTCACATTTTTGTCTTTAACTAAACATTTCCTTCATAACTGAATGAAGGAAAAATGTTAAAGCATTTTTCTTTAACAAAGTAAATGCTAACAGGGTAATAAATTTTCTGCCAATGTTTTAATATCAATGCTATGAATTCCAACTCAGTCCAGTGACTTTTAGAATTTCGGATTTTAACTTGTTATTCAGTAAGTTTTTAAAAATAATTCTTTCCTAGAGAAATCACTTATACTGATTTTGTAAGTTAAGCTGATAAAGCCAATGATCTGAAAGAAAACCTGTCTTCTCCTTCCCTATATTTTTCCCACTTTAAGCTGCTGCTTTGATTTTGCAGATGTTGCCATTATTTTAAAATGTAATTATTTATTGAAATAGTCCAATATATCTGTAAAATTAAGATTTTAAAAAATTTCATTGATTTGATTTAATTGGCTAAAAAACCCGAGTTAAATAGAAATCTAAAATCAAATTTTAAGCCAGCAAGAAGTGAGAAGGTGATTTATGAGGCCGATAACTTTAAATACCTGCATAAATGTTGGAAAAATGGAACAAAGCCAAGTGTAATTTTCCATTTCATTATGAAGTGGAAACTTACATAAATGAACTGTATCCTTGATCTTGTTCCACCTTTTACCTTTAGCTGCCCATTGTATCCAGGAGTAGTTTTTAGAATGAAAACTGTATTCACCTTAGTACAAGTGAGTGTGTATATATCTAGGAATCTACAAATATATGGAAAACAAAAGAATAAGTAGGCAATAGATTGAATATTGCATTCTTATTTCCAGTTTTGTCCAGAAAACTCATTCAAAATAACCTTAAGATTTATTAGAGTCATATGTAACTTAACAAATTATTTAAAATAGATGAAATATAATAGTTCAGCTTTAGCAAATTAAACATAGTATTAATTAAATCTGAGTAAGTTGCATTTTACCATTCATTGTTTGTAGTGAAAGTAGGTCTACAGCTCACACATGAAACCCTATTTGCAAGGCTGCAAGACCTGTGAATGTCTATGGTGGGATCTTGCCTGCACCTGCATTTTGGCTTCTTGGTGAGGAAAGCATCTTGGAAATTGGAGACAATGGCCATCATCTAAAATATTATTGTTACTCTAGTTTTAAAGCAGTAATAAGAATGGATATTACTAAGCATAATAAAAACAATTCCTCTTATTTTTCCCTGAATTAAAAGTAAGTTAAACAAAAAAAAAAAAAAAAGAAAGAAAGAAAAAAAAGAAAAACATTTTTTCTAGTTCTTCACTGCCACTTACAGGTAACACCAATGAGCCTCCATATTTGTCCTTGGGTGTACCCGTCATCTCTATATGTTGCTGTATTTTCTAATGTCTATCAACCAGTTTCTGAGATCTTTAGATTTTTTTCTTTTTAAGCTTAGTGACTTCAATATCACAATCATGGTTTCCCCCTCCATCCTGCTGCCCATAACAGTTATCTTAGACTTTCTTTACACTGTCTTTAACTCTGGGAACCTCCATCCATGGTCAACTTGCCCTGCACCAGGGAATGGTGGCATTGCTTCACTTTAAAACTGTCCATTACTGAGATGTTAGGTTCCTTCCTCAATGTTTTAACATGTAGCTTGTCTGCTTCTTGTTTGCGCCTCACTTTCAAGTCTAATTTATGTCCTTTCTTCATGTTGCTGCTTTTTCGTCATATCCATATTTTCTTTGTCTGATAGGTTCTGCAACAGGCATTTGTCCTGCATTTGTACTCACCAGGACCCTAGACTCTTCTCACCCTTTTCTTGCTCTTGCAGCATGGTTAGGTCCTAACTCCTTAAACTTGAGTAATTTTCCATCAATCAGCTTTGTATTTCTGGGCCACCAATCGTTGAATTGCTGGAGTTTTCTTATCTGCACACATGTATTATGCCTGAATTGTTAGGATTAAAAAAGACATCATGTATTGATAGGATTAAATGTATTACTATCAGTGCTTGGCACATGTTGATTTCCCTGTGTGTTTGTATGTTTTGCCTATGCCTGGGGATCAAACCCTGGGCCTCATGCATGCTAGGCAAGCATGTGCTCTGCCACTGACCTACATCATCAGCCTGCTTTTTCCTCTATTTTCTATTGGGAGTTGCTTTCCTTCACCCTGGGATCATTCCATTTACCTAAACCCACAGATTAATCTGACTAAAGCACCTCTCAGTTTGTGGGACTACCTTTGATAAAAGACTGCAAGGGACGGCAATTTGATACCATAATAAGGAAGTCCAATCTACCAAGTGTGGAGATTGGGACATGTGATTTTCTTCTCCTCTGACATTATGTAGGCTTTTGCTTCACTACTCTCCTTTGTGTAAGCTTCACCACATGATTCTTTGTTCTTCTATGGTACTTTACCGTTTTCATCTCTATACCTTTATGAACATCTGTCCCACCCCCATGGAACTTACCACCCTCATATTCTCCAGTCAGCTTATGTAGCTCAAATGCCACTTTTTATATAAAGGCTCCCTGATGTCTCCAGAATCAATTGTTAGCTCTGGCTTCCAGAATCTTCTGACTTGATACTAGGTTTTCATATACTGTCCTGTGTATGCATTTTCTTTTTGAGTAAACCATATAGGCCATGAGAGGATGTCATCCCTTTTCTTCAAAATGCTTAACAGTTTCTTACAATGTATGAGGCACTTAATAAATTCATTAGAATAAATAAATAAATAAATCCTTACATGTAGTTGCTTTTCCAAAATCTTTTAAGGAAAGATATATTCTCCAGGTAGAGAATGAAGTAGGCATGCCTGGAATTGGAATGTCTGATTTTTTTTTTTTTTTTTCCCAAGAAGAAATGTTCATACACAGACAGATATTCTGTTGCTGAAAAATATTAGCTAATTAATGTGAAGACTGATAATGACAAAGATAAATTTCTTATGACTTTTTACTATAAAAGAAATCGGAAAAATATCTACAGAATGAGAAAAGAATTTGGACGACTAGGGGAAGCTAATTTTAAACAAGTTTAAATGCATGAGAACTTTTTTGATCAGAGACACTGAAGGGCCTCTAATATATTTTTTTGTTGTTGTTTTTAGAGAGAGAGAGAGAGTTTTTTAATATTTATTTTTTTAGTTTTCGGTGGACACAACATCTTCATTTTATGTGGTGCTGAGGATTGAACCCAGCGCCCTACACATGCCAGGCAAGCGCGCTACCGCTTGAGCCACATCCCCAGCCCTCTAATATAAATTTTTGAGACCAACTTTTCTGAATTTATCTAAATGTTCCTTATATGTTTATTTTGGTGATATTGATTATGTACTTGCTGTGAAAATAGTATTAATATTACATTGAAATATGTAGTTAGAATCCTTCAAATATATATTTTGATCACTTAACTTTTCAGAATTTTTGTCTCCAAAAATGAATTCTTAAGGGAGAATTTTAGAACTTTCCCCTCGATTTCTTGTGTGTTTCATGCAGAGGGCCCTCCAGAACGTTCCATTCAAGGAAATGCAAGTACATAGCATTATCTTCAGAAGAATGCCCTTGCTTTTATCTTGATTTTCACCAGAAGTTTACTCAGATTTGGGAACACAATAAGGTTGGAGGTAGTAATAGATAATGCTCAAGGGAAACTAAAAGCATATTATCCCAAATTAGGTTGGTAGCCTCCTGCTAGTTCAACAACATTTGCAAGAGGCTAGAAGTCACGCTCTCTGCCATCTTGTTTTGTGATCCTGCTCTCACATTGATGTCCACTGCAGTGCTGGGTTGCATGGATGACTGAAGGAAAGAGGAGTTAAAGCATCTTATTTATATATAACTTCACTGTAGTATAGAGGTGTGTGTGTGTGTGTGTGTGTGTGTGTGTGTGTGTCTACATACTGGTAAATTACCTTTTTCACCAAAGCAGTTCTTGCTTTATTTAAAAGTGAATGTCAAAAAATATGGCCGTTATAGACAAATTGCCTAGAGGCTGTCCCCCTCAGAAACTTTCTGCTAGTACTTGGAAAAAGTTAATTTTTAGAAAAATGTAGTTCACAGCCTAAACTAATATAGACACTACAGAAAATAAGGGAATATGTGGGTACGTTTGTATCATTCTAGATCCTTATGGTTATGTTTCTGCTTGGTATGTAATTATTACTCACTGAATAAGCCTTAGTTCATTTTTCCTCTGGGATGTATTTTTAAAGCAAAATGTTGAGTTCGGAAAATTTGATAAAAAGTTGACATTTTATCTTTTTTAGCCTATAGGGAGAACATTCATGGATAAACTAGCATACAATAGGGGAAAGGGAAAAAAAAACACCATATATAAAAGAGGAGGATATTTTTCTCTTTTTTCATAAATAGAAATTTGTTTTGGTTTAAGCAAAATTGAGGATATCATATATGAAAACACAAGAAAATGTAGAACTTGAAGCTTCAAGTTCCAACTAGAAGTTACAGGTTCCTTCATGACTTTCTGTGATTTCAAACAAGTCACCTCACCTCTCTGAGCTTTTCCTTTAAAATGACCCAGAGACATATTGTACATGTTTGGGGGGTACCCTGATTTACAGGTTCAGTACCACCAGCAGTTTTGACTGGCACTGGGTAGGTCAGCTATGGAACTCAGGAGCATTTTATATGGAGTACATCGCCACCTATTGGCAACAAGTAGACTTAAAAATGGCAAGATAATAACTACTGCATCATTGAAGGGCCTTTTTGTTAAAGCAGTAATACAATAGCAAGGAACTTAGAAGAATTGAAAA